TACCTACCCGTCTGTGCATACACACACATTTTTCCAGTGTGACATGTGATGTAGTGTCTGATTAAATCACACTATAGGAAACAAAAGACAACATGGTCGTAAATTATTTGAATCTACAGCCCCCCTGCAGGTGCAGGTGACCTTTAACCCTTCTAAAACAAGACAGTGGTGACCAAAATAGTGTTGCTTTCTGAGACCTGACAGCGAACTGAACCAGCAATTGTGCAAGTAACCCACACTCTACTGAGGACAGGTTATGTGCAAAACTGTCTTAGCTAAATGTCTCAGCTAGAAGTGCAAACTAACATATTTCAGCAGTAAATCCATCATCGTTAATTAGCTTCATATCCACCCTTCCCTTATGCTACCCCACCCCTGCTGCTTACATGCTACCTACCATTTGCTAAAGGCAGAGATAGTGTATTCAGTAGTCTATAACATAGGCTGGGTCTATGTTCTCAAGGGACATTCTGAACATTCCTGCTATTGTTGTTTCATTACCAGGCCGAGGGTTACCCTTACCATTCACAGTGGCTGACCTCTAGACTGACTGGCGGTGCTGGTGGTGACCATGTTCCTTGGAATAGGAAATATAGGAGCTTCATCTTTTGCAAAAGTGATGATGCAAAAATAATTTTGGTAGGTTCTTCAACTGTTTTGCTAGGTCAGGCTATGGCTGCATTTGTGATTGAATCTATGATGCTATGGAAATATCTGTAGCTGTCCTGCGACTACTCCAACATTAGCCAAGATATCATTGTTAAGCTACACAAGATTTGATATTTGTTTTCTAGTGCTTCAATACAATACTCAACACAACCAATTCACTGCACGCAACATTAACATATAGTTAGTGTTACACCCATTATAAACAAATGTGTCATTGCCATAATCATAACAACCAAAGCTACAGCCTGTCTCAATCAACCTAATTGTTGGTGAGATCTAGGTTTGCTAATTAACTGCAATGGTGCAGTCTTGCATCATTGCCAGCCACATCTGGTCACAGCCAGTGGCGGTCTACTAAGTAACACACAATACAAAATACAATTACTAGACGGACTGACATTTTTTCCCAGCAGTCCTTTCGCATGGTCCTTGTGGATGTCGCCTACTGACCTTCCTGTTGTGCCACAATGAGGTTAACATTTGTGGATGGATGTCTCAACAACTATTGGATGGGTTGCCATAACATTTGGTACAGCCATTCATTTCACCCTCAGGATGAATTGTAATAACCTTGGTGACCCCTTTAATATGTATTTCTTCAGGTCAAAATAATAATTGGTCCAGTACTTTGGTTTATGACCAAATATCTGTTAAACTAATGACATTCCCATTAGCCTCAGCTATACTTTGTGTTAAGATGGTATGATGCTCTGCGTTGAAGGACATCGACTGACTGGACGTGGTATTTAAGTCAAGTAACATTAGTTCCTCTTGAGCAGGATGTGGTGCTCTTTCCTCTCCTGAACACCTGGGCCTCACACAGGTTTTTGTTTAGTTCATAGTATGGACTGTACCTCCTTCCTGTACTTGGTTCCTGCTCAAACAGCACAGTACACAAAGAGGTGCAAAGAAAGGGACACATCAGGGTTTAAAATGCTATCTTTACACAGATAACCCCCATCAGTAGCTCTTTTTTCTTCTGGGGTATCAGTTGTCCTGTAGAGGTTACTGTTACTGGATCCCAAGTCCTTCTTCCTTTTCTTTTGAGCTTTTTTCCCTCTGCTTTCCCATCTCTCCAGTTGGTTTCCCTGGTTTTCGGGATGTGTATTTACAGATGCAATCACATCCTCTCAGTAGTAATGATTTTAGTTTACTCTCTTTTTCCCACTGCTCTCTGTTAACTGCCTTTTTTCAAGGCATGAGCTGCTTACGGCGATCAGTGGCAGTTTAATGAGATGTGTGTGTGTATGGGGGTCTCTGTGTGTTAAGTGAGGAGTGCAGCTGCAGCTCCAAAATCAAGTCCTTTCTTGAACACTGAGGGATGGATAGGGAAGGAGGGGGTCCTCCACTTCCTGTGTGCAGTGAGGTCACACAAGTGGTTCACAAATGGAGACGACACAGGTTCACAGGTTGCACACAGAACTTGGCATGAACTCAAAACAATAAAAGGAGAGAGGGGTGTAAGTAGAAAGACAGATAAGGGCACCAGAGTGTAGTTATGTTCACATTATCTCCATCAGTCACTGTTTCAGTCTGCAGAACTTTACGAAGACATGCAACATTTCAGCACATCTAAAGTGCTGCTAATGGAGACCAACTGTTCAATTTTCTCCTATCTGCATCCACCTCACTTTGAATGGCTCATTAGCACAGCATGGTACAGTGATGTGTGATAAATGGACACACGCCTCCTGAGTTTGAGGTATGCTTTTATCCTGAGTCCTTTCATTTTCCTATCAGACTGTTGGCTCAAACACCTGGTCTACTGTTTAGTGTGCAAGGCTGAATAGTAATGGTGTATTTGTAACACTGTCACCGTGTTCTTCGGTAAGATATAAAGTATAGTTACATTAAAAAATGCACCCAGTTTGGGATTTGTCATATCCACTGTCAATGATGTTAAATCCAATCCATTTTTATATTACTGCTCAGAAATAAAATAATAAACCATGTTGACATGTTTTATTTTAAAAGTAATGTTGCTTTTAATGTCAGTCAACAAATGTGCTTGTTTTCAACTTGCTAATGTATTGATTTGTCCCTCATCCAATTTTGCAGGTCATTGTATCTGTTTATAGTCATACTCCAATTTCTCAACAAAGCTTGACACCAACACACCAGAATGACATGTCCCTGCAAAAATAGACAACAAGCTCACCAACATCAGTTTGACGTATGCTGTTGATTCAAAATACCTTCTTTTTTTCTTCGGAAAACAGTTTTGTGTGTGCACAGGTGTTGCAGTGCAAGCATGTGCATGTGTTGGCTCAAGATCAGGGTATAGAGATGAGACTGAAAGGATGAAAGGATTTGAGGGTTTCAATACATTGGCTAAAGAGGTAGCACAAAAGATCTAAAAACATCCATCTGCAGAGCACTTGAAAGGTAGAGTTAATGTTTACAATTTCTGAGCATTTTCTTTACTTTCCCATTATATTTTGAGTGCAAAAGGAAGCAGGAAAACATTTTAATCTCCAGATTAAATTATTTCAGCATTTGTTTCATATTTGCACAATATAACAGAGATCAGCATAAAGAAGAGATAATGATGTTCAGTTCATGAGAGAAATACATCACTGCTCTCTGTATTTTAACCTTCTTAGATCCAGCTCCATTGTTTGGGGTTTTTCTGAAGAGTAAATCAGCTTCTACTGTTACCAAAGCTTCTATTTTCTCTTAATCTTGACTTTTGGTTGAGGTATGAAGCCATTGATCTTTCATTAGCACTCAAAGACATTTTACTGCTCTCCTTTAATCTTTCCTTGACTTGAAAGGAGGGGAAACTTAACTCTTAATTGCTCCTATTTTTTTTAGTAAATGAAATACCATACTTATCTGTGATTTAATTACAGATAGTTCTTGAATCAACAGACTGTAATGACTTCAGGGATACTGGGATCTTTGACAAAACCATTTCTTTGAATCATGTTATGAATTCATCAAGGACAATTAAGAATGTGATAACAAGTACAAGTAGACTTTGAGACACGCACATTAAACCCTCACTCTTTCTGCTTTATGTCTGAAAAACCTATCAACCACACGCTCTACAGCACCCAACCCCCACCTTAATCAACATCCCCCACTTTCCAGTTGCAGTGACAGGTGGCTCTTGGGGGTTTTGGTGAACACGACTCAACAGCTGCACAAAAGAGCCCCACTGGGGTCCTTTTGACGGGGTGTCCCCTCTCAAGCGTGCCGATCAGCCCCTGGCCCAGCCCCCACCTTGGCAGATGCTGTGAGAGATCCACAGGTGGCAGACGGGAAGACACTCTGCAGAACTTAAAAGTGTTACATAGCGAAGATTTAATACGTTTTATGTTTTAAACTGGGTTGTGTTTTCTCTGACTTAAAAAAAAATCTAAATATGTGGCAGTAGCTCTGTCTTGGGTGGAGCAACTTGTTTAACAAATCAAACATCCATCATCCAAAACAAAAACCAGGCTGACAGGAAAGTCTAGTGTTCTCTTGACACTGAAATGACATGCATGTACAACCTATCTACCCCGACAAATTATTAACAGTACATATTGTGTCTTAGGTGTAGACACTGACAAGGCTGCCGTTACCTTGAAGGCATGTTGACATACACCTTTAAAATGCAAGCAAGCATGTAGTAGAGTCTTCATCTTCTTTTCTTGACACAGTGCATCCACTTGTAATTTCCCAGATGTCGTAGAAGCAGGGAAACATCAGGTTAATTTTAAATGATTCAGAAGGATTCTCAGTAAAGGGCCTCTAAAGATTTTCCTTGTTATGCTGATTTACCCACGTGGAGTATTATTCAGAGTAAATGAATGTCTTTTATTTATCCAATAAAAATATGTGAAATCCTAGTATGCTGGTGTATTTTGTTGCCTGCACCCAGAAAAGTTACAGCGATCTCAGGTGTGAATATAATAATTTGTCATATTGAGAGACAGATCAATCTTTACTTCATACCGGATTTAAGCAACTATTGGCAATGATAAAAACAGCCCAGAAAACATAGCAAGCATGCTGGTCAAAGGTTCTCCAATGAAAAGGTCTATATTGAATGTGAACTGTGACCTGGCTGTGTGAGCGTTGTAGTTTTGTGGGTGAAAGAACCAATCAGTACGGAAGGGACCAATTATATTCTTCTCATAAAGAAATGCGTTTTTATCACTAACGTTTGTTTTATGATTATAATCCAGGTATATTGTAACACTAGCAGCTACTGCATCTCTCTTCCATCGTGTAAAATCTAGCTTGTATTTAACGAACAAAACTATAGGTAGCAGCCGCACCACCCCCCTCTTGGTAATGGTACCGCCCGATCTGGAGGCCAGCGAGGGACGATTAGCACGAGCACAGCATCAGCTGTAGTGTGTCGGAGAGTGAGAAACTTCTCTCACTCCTCCTCCCCTGCTTTCTCTCTCCCCAAATTCCCTCAGACACCTTTTTCTCTTTAACTTCTCCCACAGGAGCAGCCGCAGCCACCGGTGCCCCAGTCAACAGGCTGGTACAGGCTGGGTTTTATTTTTGGTTCTATCTCTGGTCTACCTGGACGCTCTCGGGAGTGTTTTCTGCCCGGTTCGTTCAGGACATCGGGTGCAACTGGAGTGACTAGACCAAGTTTCACCCCCCCGTCCCCCATTCTGCCTGAGGAATGAGAGGATTGCCGAAGACCCGAAACTCGCATGTTTGAATGAACAAAAGAACAGAAAGCGAGGGTACTACCGCCGACATGGAGGAAAACACTCTGCCAGGAGCAACATGTAAGTCCTTATTAGCGGTTCTTCAGTCTACCTTAGAGCTGAGTCTGTCTTTAAAGAAAAACTACAGGAATGCTTTGTCATTCATGTCCTTTGTCACGTTGTAACAAAATCATTTAAAACGCTGTCTCGCTGGTGTTAACTTTATAGTTGCATGGCACCTTTAGGGGTTGAGAAACAGTGTTGAAATTAAGGTAAAGCCATAGAGAGCTTGCTTGGGAATGCATTTGTTTGATGAATTATGAATAATCCATTAGGAGGTGCGGATACAGACAGTCCTCAAATCATAAGGCTAACGCAACCTTGTTGTTGTCCACAAGCTTAACACCTAAACCCTAACCCAGATTTGATCTGAGTAACAATAAAAAGATGATTTACCTATTTGCAGACCTTGATGATGAAAACCAAACACCGGCATCATCATCATCATCATCATCATCAGCTGACTGCTGATAGCTGTGTCTTCAAAATATGTTGCCATTTCTTTCGCATAGAGCTCAGCCCACAGGGGTTATGATAACACAATTTGCGCTAGATGAGGTAATCTGACTAGTACCGCCCCATCCCCCTCCGTATGTTATGTTTAGCTCACTACTAACATGATGTAGTCATTGGCGGTCTGGCATCCCCTCCTGTCTCCTCTTTGCTGCTGCTCTACCAGAGGATGTTTTCGAACTAGAGTCAGTGGTTGTTGTGTGCACAGGTGCAGTCGTGCTCATGTTTTCCTGGTGCAGAGATGCATCAATAAACTCCTGAAATCAAGAACATGTTCATGAAAAGCTCAGCCCAGGGCCAAAGTGCAGGATAAAGAATCCACCTCACACTTCGGCCAGATCCGGCTCACTTACTGCTTTATTTGTGCAATTACAACTTATGGGATCCCATGATCATGCAGTTCAAGGCCAATGTCTGCTCACTGGGTCATAACACTTTGAGACTAGATGAAATACCTGCATTGGAAACCTGCCAGTGTGAAGTTGGTCTTGCAAGACACCCAGCATTTGCCTAACGATTGAATCTCCATGCCAGAGCATTGTGTATTGACATATGTTGCCAGTTTCTGGAAATAGAAGGGGACACACAATGTGACCTCCTCCTTCTGACAACAAAAAAACTTCCTTCCTGCTGACAGGGGGCTTCTTGGAGGGAGGTCAGCTTGTTTTGGCTCTGCATCAAGCAAGGGGAGAGGTGTGCTCCACCCTGATCGTGGGAAGCTTGACCAGTAGACTGGAGTGTCTTTAAATTGCCATGTTCTGAATAACATAATGTATATAAAGCTGGTAGGGGCTGTGATCATATGTGTCGTGACTCATGGCAGACGCACTGACATCAGGGCTCTTGTTTCATATAGTATATGTCAGCCAGACTGTTATGCTTCCCATTCTTAATGTGAATGATCAAAAGTTGTTTTTCCAGCTGTCTCTAGTAAGTCATCAGTGGTCAAATGGTCCTCAGAGCAACAAAACTCCTTGTGCACAACTCGACCTCTGTGTGCAACATTTGTCTTAAGCTTGATGTTACTCTGTGATCATGTGTTTTTCAGAGCCGTATCCAATAGTTCTGAATATAACTTAATCTCAAAATGTCGCTTTTGAGGTTTTTACCATGATGATACCGGGACATGATACTCTCTTATGAAGGGGAGAGTGTGTTCGTCAAAATCTCTGATTAAGACATGTTTTCTTGCCATATCAGCTCCCAAGAATGTGTGTTGCCCATGTAAAACATTCTTGAGCAAGATATTTAAACAACACCTGGAAGCAGTAGGACAATTGGAAAAGTCTCCTTTTGTTGAAATGCAGGCGCTAAAGAAAGCTTGATCTGTCCTGCTTGAAAACTAGCCCTTGGACTAGAGCTGTTGAAAGCCTGGCCCAGCATTGTGAAAATGTGCTGTCAGGACTTTTGGAGAAGATCTTCTAATCCCCCTTTTCTTTATGCAGGCTTTCTTCTCCCCGCGCTCCCAACTCTGCCACTCTTTGACAGTCGGCTCTGTTTGGTTGTCCTCTTTAATCTCCGTACCTGAACAGCTAAGCTGGGACCAGCTGAGCTGAAAAGAAACTTTAATTTTCCTTTTAAGATTAGCCTTTATGGCATATTCACTGACATTTCAGATGAGTGTGACTGCTGCTATCTCTAGAATTTTTACTGTAGGTAAACAGTGAGTGTATAAGATACTGAGGCGGCGCTTTGAATAGTTAATGAGCCATTATGCAAATGTTATTTTAAGCAAAAAAGACAAGCTGCTTCACCTCAGCCAAATTGACAATAAAGAGCCTCAGACAGGGAGACAGATCATAGTGTAGTCATTGTCTATCATGTAATATGGGAAAATCCACCAGCTTTGGCTGTCAAGGCTGTTCTATAGTGAACAGGATCAGTCAGCTACACATCTTCAGCCGCAGGAGTTGTTATGTAATCAGGGGAATACGTGCGACTGCGTGCCATTTTTAAGGGAGAGATTGCTGCTTTAGTGTCTTTGTAAATTGGCAGTGGGCAAGATCCCATGGGGCCTTCTAGATTCACTGCCTAATAATGGAGCCTGATAATGAGAACAGACATCGTTTTTGCACAGGGTTATTTGTGAGCAATGCAGTGGTGAAGTGTGTGTTCATAATTCGATTTTCATGTTCTGCAGGAGATATATTTGACTCTGACAGGTTAGCCACATGTGAAATGTCTTGAAATGTATCATCCAGATGCTCAGTCATGTATCAAGAGTAATGATTTAATATTTGTGAATATGGAAAGAGTAATTTACTTCTTACTGTATTTTTGGGAGTGCAATAATGATACTGGCTTCTGTAACTCTATGTAGATGGGAATATTACTGCATAGGTCAAGTAACAGGCTTGTTCATGCCAGTATTCTCTTGAACTGTGTCCTGTCAAGTCAATTTCTGTATCAGAGGCCTAAAATAATAGCATAATATTACATTTATAATGTTTTATTCATTTTTTAAATCTAATTTATAGAAGGGGGTGGAGTACACAAAGGGGACCAACCTGTATGTGGGCTCCATCCTGCATAATCCATTTCATTTAGTGAATGTTGCTGCAATCACAGATTACTTTGTCAATCAAATGGCTTTGGCATGCCTAAAGGGATTAAAGTGGCAAACTGAGAAATGTAATACTGTACCACACTCTTTCACAAGATCTAACTTTTCTTTTGGTGTATAGATGAATTAGATGTTATTGGTGCAGGAGAATGGGGGCTTCCCAGTTCCCACATGTTCAGATATGTTCAAAGCCCACATTCAGCACTTTTTTATAGAAGGGACTCAGCCCTTGTCTATCTCAGTGAAGTTTGGAGAGTGAAGGGAAAAGAACAGAAACATCTGAGTCCCAAAGAACCGACTGAAGTCTTGCCAGGACTGTGGTGTTGAGGTCTGCTTTTGATACTGCAGTGCAGTTTTTAGACAGCGACACATTTCCAGTCAGTTTGGCTCCTCAGTACTCCAGCACATTGGATTTAAAATGATATCCTGACTGGGGTTCAAGAGCTAAGTTACAGCTTTAAGGGTGTTTGAGGGTGTTCACATCATATTGGTTTGAACAGCACTGTAGTCATATCCTTTTTTCCTGGACATAGCCCCTGCATTTTGAAAAGCTCACAGTGATGGGGCTGCAATTCCTGTACTGTCCACGCAGAATGGATGTAAATACCTTCAGTTTTAATATGGAAGTTGGCACTCATACTCACTGTCACTGTTTTATCTCAAATCCAATATGTATCAAGTTGTGCACTCAATATGCATAATGCTCATATTCCCCCTGTGCTGGATGAGCTCTAGTTGGATCATCTGCACATTTGCAAGCTTTTGTAGGTATATGTTTGTGTCTGTGTACAAGAATCAGGATGTGAAGCTTTCCTTAAGGCAAGATCCTACCTTCTGGTTAGTGCCATATAGTCCAGTTCAAATAAATGAGAAGTCCAGAAAGAGAGGGGACCAAAGCTATAAAGTAAAGGCAGACAGGCCAGAGGAAGGCGAGACATGCAGTAATGTGAAGAAGGTGAAAAACTGATTGAACTCCCTTCTCCAGATTTAAACTCCCCACATAGAGGAGGAATCACGTCAGTGCTGGTCCACTCTGTGGGACCCAGATGGTGTAATTCACACCGCCCATACAGAATCAGTATCAGAAATACTTTAATAATCCCAGGGGGAAATACATACATACATATATATATATATATATATATATATATATATATATATATATATATATATTATACAAACAACATATATTAAGAACTATATATATATATATATATATAACAAACTGACACTCACCTCTCATAAGGGAATAGATGTAGATCTCTAACCCAGCACTCTGGAAAGGCAAATAATGTTGAAAGCCCTCTCATTACCCAGCATTCAAAGTGTGTAGCCTGTCAGCCTCTGCAGTATTCTACCAGGAAATTGCTACTGAAAGCGGTCAATACGTCCATGCAGGCACAGTTCATGTTTGTTTTTGGGAACATGAATGACAGACATTGAGCTTCTGAAAAATATGTGTGAGGTCCTATCATTTTGGCCTCCCATTTTAAATGTATTAGAAGAAAACTGTGTTTACTCTGAAAACATGGATTAAGGTAGGATTAGATAGGATTAGAGTTGAATTTACCTACCCTTGAACCACGTCTAACCAACAGAAACCACAAAATAGCTCAGATAAGACAAAAAATGCTTGTGTAGTCTAACCCTATAAATAATCTGTTCAGTTTTGTCTCTCAAATGCGGATATATGACAATTGATACAAGCTAATGTTTCTATGCCTTGTTCATTATACATTGTGATAATTAGAGCAATTCACTCACTTTCCATAGCTCCATTACGTGTGTTATTTGTCGCACTTAAAATGACTGGGGGCTACAGTTTTGGTAGATTAGCCTTTAAAATGGGCCAAAGATACTAGAAGTGTCTGGCTTTTAGAGAATGCTTTTGAAGAATGGCTTTTATGATGTATAACCTGTCCTCTCCTCTTTAGCCCCTTTGGTC